TTGATTTCTTGAGTTCCCCTACAGCAGGCAGGATTTTGACCATAAGGGATAGGGTTATTGTAGAAAGCAAAGATAACTGCATCCTGGGGAAGGTTACACTGGGAAATCTGGTGTCTGCCCAATTGCCCAAGACAGCATCATCTCAGAGGTTACATTAATATTTTTCTCCAAAGTCCTGTAAGATTTTTGAATGCGAACTTCTCTTTGACACTGTTTTCATTTTATATAATCAGTCTATCTTAAAAAAAAGTAATAAAAAGACACACATAAGGAGGAAGGTTTCTCAACCTTGGTACTATCAACATTTGGGGTCAGACAATTCTTTGTTCTTGGGTTTATGTTATGCATTACAGGATGTTTGGCAGCATCTCTAGCCTCTACCCACTAGATCCCACCAGCATAGCCTACCCCTCCATTATGACAACCAAAAATGTCTCTAGGCATTGCCAAATGTCCCTGGGGCATTACAATTACCCCCTAGTTCAAAACTGCTTTATGAGTTATTTTAACAGTGTCAACATCCTGAAAGGGTTTTGGAATACAACATAGGAACTTTGTTCATAAAACAATCAGATAGTAAATATTTTAGGCTTTTTGAGTCACCCAAGTCCCTAATGTATGGTCTTGTTTTTATTTTGTTTAGAATCCTTTATATATGTAAAAATTCACTGGAGCACAAAAACTGGCTGAAATTTGCTTAGATTGTAAAGGAAGAAATGATAGTAGTTCCTATAATGATCAAAAGTGTTGATACAGTATTTGGAAAAACTTAGATTTTGATCTAGCTACCAGGTCTTTGTGACCCAGAGCTAACCAGTTAAGCTATCCTACTTGGAAAGCCTGAAATTAAATAACTCTAGGTTAAATTCCATTAATTTTGTTTGCAGTTTAATTCTATTTAATATGTTTAAACATAAAAGGTTTAAATAAAACAGAAACTTGATATTTGAACACAACGAGACTCTCTAATATTTAGAAGAACATCTGCTTAGTGGGGATGCGTTCTTTGCTTGGCTTGGAATTAAATGTCCTAAGTCCTTTTGAAGAAGAGGTTATTACTCAAAGGAAATTTTCTTACCCCAGTGTAAAACCAAAATATGTTTTGATAGGACTAACAAGATTTGTCAAGGAAGGGAAAATGGTGTCTTAGGAAAAAAAAGATGCCTAAAAATTGCCTGTAAAATTGTAAAATAAAAATTTCATTTAAAATATATTTCAAAGTAGTTTCTATAGAATTTTCTCTAGCCATCACCTAAATGTTTTAGGAAACTAGGAGAGTTCCATTCAACAAGTATTTATTGTATAGACGCTCTCTGCCAGGGATTGTATGATGCCCTAGACTTGAACTCACCTGGAGCCTGCCAATGAACAGCACTCTGAGAGGAAACAACTATTTTCAGTCATCTAGAGATTTTTTTCTAGTAAAGTATATCTTTGTATATTGCTGATTACAAATATCAGATGTTTACTTTGGGCATTTGTAGTTTCTATATGTAGATTTTCATCAACACCAGTAAGAACAAGCCTAGAAAATGTCCCTATTCTTCAATTACTAATGATGGAACAATGGTACGAAATTGGATATTTGATTTTGATCAAATGTACTTCCCCTGGATAACAAAATACATATTTTACATCATTCAACTAGTTTCTCATATGAAAGGCAGTAAATTACAGTGAGAAGAGCATGGGGCTTGAATTCTAAAACCCTGTGTTTAGTCCCAGTCTGTCCATGCTTTTTCTGTGGGCAAATCAGTTAACTTTTAAGGAGTACATTTTTCATCTGCAAATGGGACACTTTTCCCAGTATTATTACATACAGAGTGTTTTAAAGGTGATAACATTATCAGAAGAACCCAGCTATACTCATTCTTCATTCTGTGTGGATGATTCTGGGATAAATCAAGTATTGTCTTAGTCACAGCCCAAATCAATTATCAGCAGGATCTTCTTGTACTTCGCTTTTTATGTGATCATGAAAAAACATATCTATGAAAGCTTGTGAGGCCCTGCTTTGAAATTTGCTCTGAGATGAACATAATGGATTTTCTGTTAAAAGTTATAATGAGTTAATTTAATTTTCTACTTAAATGAAAGCCTTTGAAGATCAAAATTTCAAAAATTAATGGCTGAGCCTTTAGCAGCCACCATGAGTTTTCATCATCCACTTTTGCCCCAAATTACATCTTTGGCTTAAAGCCTTCAGAGGAAAGCACTGTACAGAGACTCACTCCCTATGGGATCAAATGCCATACTACAGAGTATGGTAATTACGTCACTTGCATAAATTCAAGATCACTTTTGAACCAGGATAGTGAGATTTTCAAAAATGGATTTTATTCTGTGATAGTCTCAATTACATTTTCAAAAAGTCAATGTGGCTTTTCAAATTTTGTCATTATCCCTGCCCAGCCTAATTTTAGTCAGCAAGCATCTACAGTAATATCCTAAGAAGCATCACCTTCATTGAATAGTACAGCCCCAAAACATGAAGAGAGAAACATTATGCTTGAAATACCCTACACTACCCTACAGGTTTTTTTCCTCCAGTTTGGTAATCCAAAGAATGCCTCCAATCCTGCTGAAGATCTGCCCACTTAATTTTACTCTGAATGAGATGCCTCAAAGCAAGCAGGGGCTGTTTGGTATTGTGTAGGTGTTAACTGTTGGTGCTAACCTTGATGCCAATAACCACATATCAGAATAACACCAGTTACTACAGTAACAGTGACTCTTTCACTCAAAACACCTTTTGTAAAGGACAAGTCATCATGTCTCTAAATGGAAAAAGAAAAAAGTGCTCACTCCCACACTTTACATTACCATGACTACTGAAGGTCCATTTTCCTATCACCGTACTCCATACCTACCAAAATAGGAGTTAGATAGAGGGGGAAAAGACAATATATAGTTTAAAATTGGGGACAATTCCCTAGGGTTGATAAGATATCAAATGAGTATGAACCAATTTGATCAAGCGGCCATCTGACACAAATGAGTTCTGACCACTATTTATTTAGCTTGGTCTTCATTTCATCCAAACACCTAGGCCACAAAAAACCATCCCATTTCTTAAAACAGTTCACTGAGTACACCACTGTCCTTTAAAGTTGCCCTTTAGGCAGGGAGGCAAAGCCACCCTCCCTCTCTCCAGTCCCAACCTTTGCTGAATTGATCAAAAGCAAATAAGGAGAAAGAACCCAGTTAAAAAAGATCTGATGTGCCCGTTGGTGTCTCATTAACCTTGAGACTGAATGTAACTGGTGACTGCTCGTCACAGTGGCGTGATGGTTTGTTAGGGGGGAAAAAGCCAATGGAAACATCTCAGGGAAGAAAAATTCCAAATAGAAACATTATTTAATAGATCACTTATCAAAAAATAGGGCACTTCCAACTGTCAGGATTGGTTGAATTATACTTTCCTTAAGCCTGTAATGAATCTACTACTTGTTTTCTTGGGAAAGCATTTGAAACAGTGTTTATCTGTGTGTCAACATATGTTCACAAGCATTAAAAAACACTCCGATGTTGGAAGGATAATCAAGAAAAAATTGAACATTTTAGGTTTAACGTTAATAAGGCCCTACAATAAGTAAGTATCTGTGGTGATTTGTGTGCCACTAAAAACATCATGAGCCACTCAATGTGGATGGTTTTAATTCCATTGAGTCTCTAGCCAGATTCCCCTCTTTACTAATTGCTGACTGATAATATGTCAACAAACAGAGGGAGGAAAATAACAGGAAAATTAGCTTGTCTCTAGGGATAAACTGTTACCTGGAGATGAAGAGAGGAAGAGCTCCTCAGGTTCACTAGCGGAGTCTTCCTGGCATAAGTAGACTAAAAATCTAATTTGCTTCAAGTCCCAGATCTGGACCAGAGACTCAAACAAAACCAGCACTTTCCATCCTTGGGAGTCAGAGCCCTAGCTAGGACAGGTTCCCTGTTGTCTCCAGAGGAGAATGTGACGTAAACAAACCCACAGTCTCCACCAGGGGTTCAGATGAAACATTCTCACCTAGTTTCCCTTTCCTCTCCCGTGCTCTCCACTTCTCTATCTCCAGGCTCCTGTTTTCCTTGGGAACTTCTGGAAAGTTATCACCATTAACTTCACTTTTCATATCAAATTCCCACCTCAGGCTGATGGCACAACCGATTTCTGCTAGTGCCACCCTCTAACCAGCTGCTCTGTTTCCTGTGATCCTCTCAGGGCCACCCAGCCCCAGCTTCTGCCCTCAGTCTCCGGGGGTTCTGCCCCTCCCTCTGAGCTCAAATGCACCAAGTGAAAGTGAATCCATGGGTTTCCTCTGTTCTTAAAGAAGCTTTTGCCTAAAGAAGCTATCATGAGAGAACAAATAACTGCGAATTGCAAACATTTCCTACTTAGATATGGCTACCTTGGGGAGGAGAGGGCAGCAGGGCAGACAGTGTCCTCATCAGGGACCACACTTTTTCTAAGTGAATGGGAGAATTTTCCCCACTGTATCGCTTCCCATTTCTCTGCCCCCCCCCCCCAATAGCCTTTCCGCAAAACACTTCTGGGACCAGAGGAAGGGAGAAGAAGATTGGGGACACTGGAGTGGTTCTCTACCCCTCCCCTCAGGATAATGTTTTGTTCTCAAGTAGCGGGACTTTGAATGTCTTCTCTCATTCTGCTGCTGCTTGGCCCAGTTACCCCAAAGTCTCCCCGCCCCCAAGCCCACTGCGACCAAAACAAGCGCACAGACCACAGCACTGTGGCCGCCGCCGCCCCAACTGTTGCAGCAACTGCGGGGTGGCGGCGAAGGCTGTGCGGGTAGGGCCGGTCTCGACCTGGACGCTCCCTGACGGGGAGGCTGGGAGGCTCTGAGCGGCGGCCCAGGGGCGCGCAGTGCAGGGGAGCCCCTGCCGCAGCCGCCTAGGATAGGAGAGGCGGCGCTCTCAGCCGGGACCCCGCGCAGAGCCAGCCCGGCCGCCGCATTGGCGCCAGCGGAGCCTGCCCGCACCCGTCCCTCTCTCACCTTTAAGATCAAGTCGGTGTGATGCTGGTCCAGCATGTTGGCTTTCTGAAAGGAGGTGACGATGACCCTGCCGTAGCGCCCGGGGGTCTGCAGGTCCGAGTAGAGCCGGTGTTTGGAGCGGTTGACCGGGAAGAGGCTGTTGACGAGGTTGCGCTCGATCTTGGCCAGGCTGTGCTGGGGCGCCAGCAGGTGCTCCACGCTCTCTTCGACCTGGTAGCGGCTGAAGCTGGCGCCGAGCAGGATGGAGATGAGCACCGGCGCCGAGGCGAAGAAGACCGGGTGACTGGCAATGAAGTGGCCGAGCCGGGAGAAACACGTCCTCAAGCCCCTGTGCAGAACCTGCCGCAGCATCCTAGAGCAGAGCGGGCGCGGGAGGAGGGCGAGGCGCACGCTCGGCGCGGGCTCGGGCGGCGGCGGCGGCGGCGGCGGCGGTGGTGGTGGCGCCCGCGGCGGCGGCGACGGCGGCGGCGGCGGAGGCAAGACCCTGAGCTCTCCTGGAGCCGCGGCACCACCATCGGGGAGTCCCGCGCCGCGCCTCGGGAGGGTCCCCTCCGGTTGGAGACACGCCCTCCTGCCCGCGGCCGCGCCCGCCCGGAGAGCCCCCCAGCCTGGCGGCCTCCGCGCTGCCCCCACTCCTCCCTACCCCCAGTGCCCTCCCCACCCTCTGCTGCCTCCCCGCCCCGGGGGCTCCACGCTGCTCCGCCGCGTCCCTCCTCAGCGCGGTCGGGGCCCGGGGCAGCCCCCGCGGCGCGTCATGACCCCACTCACCCGACCCCCGAGGCCAACGACGGGGTGGCACTGGGAGCGGCGGCAGTGGCGGCGGCGGCGCTATCGCCAGGAGACTCTGCGCGCCAGCCCAGGAACACGAGGAGGGAGAATTCCAGGCTACACCCAGTCCCCTCCCCTCCCGGCGCTCCCCTCCCCCGGCCCGGCCCGCCGCGCTCGCGCTCCCCTCCCTTGCCCTCCTCTGGGGAGACCCAGAGATAAATAAAAAATGGCTCGGATCTTCCAAACAAAAAGTAAAGAGTTCTCCAGCGGGGGCTGGGGGCGTCGGGCGGACCCGCTTAGAGTTGAGCCTCCCCAGAGGCGGAAAGGAGCAGGCTGAAGACTGCGTGCGCCCGGGCTCTCGCCAGGCTCAGGTGGTGGCGCGCACTGGCTTGTTCCGAGAGGGGGTGGGGAGCCCAAACGCTGGAGGGTGGAAATCACGCCTCCACCCGAGTAAGAGCCATTTAAGATAGCCCCAACACTGCAGCTTCGGCGGGACCATGGGCTCGGGGTGTGCGGCGGGAGCACGTTCACCCAAAATGTGTCCGTGAAGGATTGTTCTCGCGGGCCCTAATTTAGGATCGCTCTGGAGTGCACTGAGGCTAGGCAGGTTTGTTGCTTCCCTCAGTCTACCCACCCAATCCCCCAGTAATAAAGTCTGATTGTGAGAGGCACTCCATGGAACTGTCTGTCGCCAGGGCTCCTAGGCACTGAGCTCTCCTCCCTGCCTTCTGCTCCTCTCTGTCGTCACTGGCAAGTCTGGGGGACCTAGTGCGGCGGGGCTGGCGCGGGCGCCCCTGCGGGTGTAGAGTATTTGAGAAAGGCTGGTCAGGGAGCCAGTAGTTAACCCCCTTGTCTCCCTTCCCCTTCCCACTCCTCCTTCACGCGCAAAGGTGTGAGTGGGGGAAACCTCATCTCAGACCTGGAAAGATACAGGTTTCCAAGCGCGCCGAGCCGCAGGGGGCGCGGGGGAGCCCGGGGGGCGCGGACGGCTTGGCAAAGTTGGGCGTGTGCGCTCCAGCGTGAGCTAGCCAGCAGCTACCGTGGTTCCCCTCGCACTTCCCCTCGGGAGAATTCCCTAAGAAGGCGGGCGCCGGCTTCAGCCCGGGATAGACCTGCGGCGGCGGCGGGAACGGCCACGCACAGGTACAATTTAGCGCGTTTCTTCACGTGCTCCAAACCCCTGGGTTCGTCCACTGCGACGTAGATCGAGCCAGATCTTGGAGTGTAGGTCACTGAGGCGTCCTGAACGGCCAAGGGAGAGGGGTGGGAACTAGGGCGCGAGGAAGGGGTCCTCAGGCTCTGCGATGCAAGCGTTTGGCCTTATCCCACACCTCCGATCGCTCCTCCTTGGTGTCCCGGTGCCAGGAGTCGAGTGGGAGGTGGTGATGACCAGAGGTGCGGCCCCTGGAGTGTAGCCCGCACAACTGAGCATGGACTTGCATATTAATCAAAGCTGAAGGAAGACAGAATTAGGGACGGGAAAGGCAGAGAAAGAGAGAAAGAGAGAGAAAGAGAAAGAGAGAGAAAAACTCAGGCATTTTTCTGTCGTTCCCATCCCAGACTCCCCAGTGCCTAGCGGCCCTCCACTTCTCAAACAGAACTTGGGAACTTGCACGTTGGAAACAGGAAGTCGCAGGCTGGGAATTCCTCCTTTTTTGATGCTCTCCTCTCCACCCCACCCCCACAAACTCCGACAGCAGCAACACCTGCAACTGCTGGGCTAACGACCCGGGAGCACTCTCGCTCTGTTCGGCTTGCCCTCCCTAGGTCTTTTTAACCAGCTCTCAGGCCACTTTCTCTGCTCTCCGACGCTCTTCCTCAGCCTGCTTTCTCTTTCACGGGGCTCCCCGGGACGCCTAAGTCCCGCAGCTTCTAGCTAACACCTTGGCCCCGCCCTGCTCCCTAATACCACTCTCCCGGGGGACACCTCCTCAGGAGAGAAAGGGGCTAGAAATTCCCAGCTATGCTCTATTGATGCCCTTCCCCCAGCATTTTAATTTCTGCTGGCTGAGACACCGCTGCTCTGCAGCGCTTTGCTGATTCACGATGATCGCGGAGGGAGAAGCCTCATTGACTTGTGCCCCTGCAAGCGGCGAGGCGAGCAAGAGTAGCTGCTAGGGCAAACGCTTTGGGAAACCACCCACCCTTGAGAAGTGGAGGTGCTAAATGGCAGAGTGGATGCCCCGTGTGGCTTTCAGCCCGGGCAGAGGAAAAGATAGGGGGGGGGGGCAATGGGAAATCCTGCCAGCCCAGCACCGTGAGCCAGCCGCATCTAGTGGGTGGGCACTCCTTAAGAGGCCTAAAATCGGTCTCTCAGCAGTAAAAGGGACAGTGATATTTCATGTGCCCTGACGCCAGTGCAGGGACAAAAGTAAGAGGAGGGAAAGGGAGACTAGCCCACAGGTCTCTTTGGGAATCTTGAATATTTTAGCGAAGAGGTTTCCATTCTGAGGTCTTTGTTTTGCACAGTACTTTCAAGTGATTCCCTCCCAACCTTGGTTTTCTTCTTCAGAATTTCTGGCCTTTTAATGTCAGCCTTTATGCAGGGTGAAGAGCAGGCATGTCCTCTCAGTACCCTGGGCTGAAATCTTAGAGCCTGAGACACTCAGCATTGCTCAGCTGACCAAGGTGGGTGTGTTGTTCTCCCACACAGAAAGGCCCTTGAGACCCAGACATAGCTAGTCCTCCCAACTCCCAATTTGTAACTGTCCCCTGTGGGGGAACTTCCACGCTGCTTGTTTTGATTTGGAGACAGAACTGCCTGGGAGTGGATCTTTAACTACTTTTATTGTGAGCAATGCAGTTAATGTTGGAAAGAGAGAGACAGATACACAAACACACACATGCACACGCGCGCGCGCGTGCGCACACACACACACACACACACACACACGCACACACACACATTCATACACATGGGGGCGGGGTACGGAGCCAGCAAGTCTCCCTATTTTTCTTTTGACTTTGACATTAGGAGACCATTGCTATTGCAAAAGACATGGATTTGATTTTGGAACCGTGACTGTGGAACAGATTCCACCAATTCATTCATTAATTACACTTTTGGATTAAAATTAATGCATATTAATATTAGTCATTTAGAAAATTGGAAGAAAGGGGGATAAAACACCTTTATCTCAGTACTTTACTCCTACCATTTAAATGTAATCTCTGTTAATAATTACTTGTACACATAGATAATGTAATCCAAAGATTAAAACTTTTGCTTTTTGAGCCACTGAGTTGAGTCCTTGCTCCAGTATTTATTAGGCACCATGTACTGCATTTAGTGAATAACTTCACCTGTTTATGCCACAGTATTCTTTGCTGGAAAATGGGAATAATAATAGTATTCACCCCACAAATTTGCTGCAATGTTTTAAATGGATTATAAGATGTAAAACACTTAAAATAGCACTGAGTATAAAAAACCTAATAAATTATAGCCACTGTAATTCTAGTCTTCTCTCTATATGTGTGCAAAAAGCAAATCAGTCCCTGACATTAAAGAGCTGGCTTGGTATTGTCAGCTGGGCCTTAGTGTTGCTAGGAGCTGTTCTGGCACCCACAGCTAAGCTTTGGCATTCTCTGGTTGAACATAAAGCATTTCCTAAAACACTGATGTCAAATAAGGATGTTCTGTAACTGTGAGGAATTAAGATAAAATGAAGACCACCCTATAATCATGTCTGAACATACACCAAACATGAACCTTGTCTAAACCACAAGAATGACTAAACAGATTTTTATCCTGGTTAATACAGGTGATTATTGTGGCCTTATAAGACACAAATTATAGAGCTAGACTGTCTCTCTGTCTCTCTGTCTCTCTGTCTCTCTCTCTGTCTCTCTGTCTCTCTCTCTCTCTCTCTCTCTCTCTCTCTCTCTCTCTCTCTCTCTCTATTTCTCTCAAGCTATTCAGCAATAAAACTATTCCTGCTTGCTAATGACATCCAATTTGGAGCAAAGCCCACCTACTTAAACCTTTCCCTGAATCACTTAATACAAAGCTATATCATTTTTAGCATTCTGTTATTAATGATTTCCTTAGTTCTCCATAGTGTATGTTCTCCCTTACAACAATGAAGAATCAACCCAACTTGGTCAACTACTGTATGGTCCTGGTGGTCTTTGGTATTGACAACATTCATACAGTGTTTATATATTGAGGATCATAATAATGTGTTTGGTAACCATTTTTCCCATTAAGATCATGGGCATTTTCTAATGTCGATTTATATTGCCATAAAATATTTTAATGACTATAGAATTCCACCATGTGTCTAATTATTTAACTTACATTGTTAGACATTTAATTTTTTTAAAAAAATATTCTATTGTAAATAACACTGATCTGAACATCCTGTACATAAATCTCAGACTGCATCTCTGTTTTTTAGGGTCAAAGGTCCACTATTACATTTTAAGTAGAGTTCCTCTAGCATATGCTTTTCTAATTATTGTTAAATTGGAAGAGACAAAATCATTCCTCCACAGGGGTTAAATACTGATAAAATACTGAATTAGTACCACTTTATAGGGATTTGTATCATTTATTACATTTGCAATCGGTCTCTTGGCTCAGTCTTACTCAGAGGTGCCAGAAAGATTGATTGTGGTGGAGGAGAGTGGATTTAAGACAAAAGGTTATTTGGTTTGATAAGGTCAGAAACTAGGGTCTACTCTTGCCTAGCAAATG